AGTCCACACAGACTCGCGGTTGATCAGTAGAAGGTAGAGAGAGAGAGAGAGAGAGTCACAGCGCGCGCGAGTGAGAGATGTCAGGTTGGGATGAGGGAGGCGTGTTCTACAGCGACCATGCGCAGTTCCCGACCGGCGGAGGCGGCGACCAGGCTGAGGCGGCCAGCCGCCACACGGTGCTGCAGAAGTTCAAGGAGTTCATAAGGAGCTTCCAGCACAAGAGCCAGCCCAACGTATTCCCCTACAGAGAGGCCCTTCTGTCCAATCCCAAGTACCTGCTCGTCAATCTAGCTGACCTAATCGCCTATGACCCCGACCAAACTCTCCCACAGTGTCTCCGTGAGAACCCTGCCGATTATCTTCCACTCGTAAGTATAATAAAATCCGACACTCTTGTAGAAAGCAGTGAGCCTACGCGAGAAAGATTCATTCGTCGTGATATTGACTAATTGAAGAAATTAGATTTAGTTTATGTTGTTCCTTTCGATTAAAACTTGCCTCATGCGTGGGTGAGGGTCTTCACGGATTAGTTGATACTGTATTGGGTTTTTTTCGAAGGATCTGTTGAATTGTGATCTTTATTTGGAGTTTGGTTTGGGCTTGTAGAATTTGTTAATTTAACATTTTTCTGTTTCTCGAAAAAATTCAGTTTGAAACTGCAGCAGCAGAAGTTCTGGTGGGTCTTAAATCCAGGGTGGCTGGAGAAACTGGAGAAATGGAGGAGCCTGTGCCGGGTGAAGTGCAAGTGCTGTTGAGGTCAGATCAGGATCCTGCATCAATGCGTTCTCTAGGGGTTAGTTGATTAGCTTTTTAGGAATTTGATTATTTGTGACCATTGACCGCTTTGAGATGTGATTTCAGTGATGTTTTTTTTTTCTCTTGTTTTGGTGGAGTGTAGGCACAATATATTTCAAAGCTGGTGAAAGTATCTGGGATCGTTATTGCTGCATCAAGAACTAAAGCAAAAGCGACATATGTGACATTGTTATGTAAGAACTGTAAGAATGTCAAGCTTGTACCTTGTCGTCCAGGGCTTGGTGGAGCTATAGTTCCACGATCTTGTGACCATGTTGCTCAGGTTTTTTCATCAAATGCAATTGTTATGTCTCTGAATTCATTTCTTTTCTTGTTTTCTTCATGTCTTGCAACTCATTGAATTTTTGTAGCCTGGCGAGGATCCCTGCCCAATTGATCCCTGGATTGTTGTTCCTGATAAAAGCAAGTATGTTGATCAGCAGACTCTGAAATTGCAGGAAAATCCTGAGGTGAGTATCTTTTTAATTCATCAACCATAGGCTGTCATTACTTGTATCAACACTATTAGGCTAAAAGGATTCACTTTTTACAAGTTTTGCAACAACTTTAATATTTTGTTGATCTTCTGAAATTCAAGGATGTGCCAACTGGAGAGTTACCAAGAAACATGCTTCTCTCTGTTGATCGCCATCTTGTGCAAACAATAGTTCCTGGCACAAGATTGACCATTATGGGCATTTACAGTATCTTTCAAGCTGCCAGCTCATCAACTACGTAAGGCTCTTTATACTTGGACAAATAATAGGAAATATATACTTCCCACTTGAGAGTTGTAAGCTTATTGATTATTTTATGCAGCCACAAAGGAGCAGTTGCAGTTAGGCAGCCGTACATCAGAGTTGTTGGTCTCGAAGAAAGTACAGAGTCAAATTCTCGAGGCCCAAGTAATTTCACTAGAGATGAGGTGACCATTTTACTTCTAGTGTTGTTTCTCTACTTCTACAAAACATCTATCTTCCTTGTAGGGTTTGAGTTTATGTCTCATTATATATTGGTGGACATAGACCAGAGAGATAATCAAACTAATAAATTTTGTCCTATTCAGATTGAAGAGTTCAAAAAGTTTGCTTCAGATAGTACTGCGTACGAGCATATATGTTCCAAGATTGCTCCATCAATATTTGGTCATGGCGACGTGAAGAAGGCTATTGCCTGCCTTCTATTTGGTGGCTCCAGGAAGGTTTGTTAATGGTCTGTTGTTTGAGACTGGTGCTATTTTCTTAGATTAATTACCTTAAATAGTTACCCCTTGCTTGATGTAGACTTTACCTGATGGTGTAAAATTAAGAGGTGATATCAATGTACTGCTCTTGGGAGACCCATCCACAGCCAAATCACAGGTTGATGCAATCTTTATAGTTTTTGTTTCTACATCTGGATATTGAATCAAGTATATGAATATATAGGATTATACTCTCTCTAACCCAAACACACATAAGTTACTGAGTTGGTGTATATTCGCCATGTAGTTTCTCAAGTTTGTTGAGAAGACTGCTCCAGTAGCTGTGTATACTTCCGGAAAAGGATCATCCGCTGCCGGTCTGACTGCTTCTGTAATTCGCGACAACAGTTCAGTAAGTTTAAGCATTTTTAACATCTATGTTAAGTTGTTATTAGTGCTGTATTTCATGGTATCTCTTTGGTACTTCTTAAGATATCAATAACCTTCTAATTCTTATGAGTGTTAATGAGTTTCTTACCTTATAATTTAGAGGGAGTTCTATCTGGAAGGCGGTGCTATGGTCTTGGCAGATGGAGGTGTCGTTTGCATCGACGAATTTGACAAGATGAGGCCAGAAGACAGGTTAGGGATTTTGCAAATATTAATTTAAATTAGAAATGTCCATTAACTTGTAATGGTTAAACAATTAGCTAAAAGATATTATGCTTTGTTGTCTAGGGTTGCCATTCATGAAGCAATGGAGCAGCAAACGATTTCCATTGCTAAAGCAGGAATAACAACTGTTCTCAATTCAAGGACTTCTGTGCTTGCTGCAGCCAACCCTCCATCCGGCCGTTATGATGATCTCATGGTCCAAAAGCCTTTTCTTTTCTTTACTAGTTACTTCCATCATCACTTTACTTCTGTTATATATGTCTAGACTGTTGGGGAAACTGAACAACTGTTAATTGCCTTTCAGACGGCTCAAGACAACATTGATTTGCAGACCACAATTCTTTCCAGATTCGATTTAATTTTCATTGTGAAAGATATCAAGATGTACACACAAGACAAGGTACGATAGTCTTGAAGTGTCTTATGATAGTTTATAAGCCAACACGTTCGACATAAGAGAAGGATGAATTTGTTTTCAATGAATTCTGGTTAGTTTGGATATAGATCACCGTGAATTCTGCTCTAACCAGCTCATTAAGAATGCTAATAGTGGGACTTAGCGTGGAATTTAATTACATGTGATGCATTGGCAGAATATTGCTAGCCACATCATCAAAGTTCATGCATCTGCTGATGCTGCTACAAGTGAGGCAAGAACTTCCAAAGAGGATAACTGGCTGAAGAAGTCTCTACTGAACTATGATCCTATGCTTTTTTTCTTTCAGTTCCCCCACGATTTATGGTTGCTTAAATGATAGATTTCCTTTACTAAAATATCTAAATTACCTTTCTCAGGTATATACACTATTGTCGAACTGAATGTCATCCTCGCTTGTCGGAATCTGCAGCTTCTAGGTTGCAGGAGAGCTATGTAAAGATTAGACAGGTATTATGATGCTTAATACTGGGACTCACACTGTGATTATATATTTTGCAGTGGTGTAGCAGTTCTGGTTTTGATATTTTAATGTTGAGAATTAAATGATCGTTGAATGTTGAATTTTTCCCATGTGCTGTATGCATGTTTCGTCATATTGACTCAGTCTGTGAAGTGCAAAAAGAATTACTGTTAGGAAGGATAACATCTTTTTACTGATTTTGCCATGATTCAAGACTTTATCATAATAACAGTGTGAAGTTCTTCCTATTATTTTCAGATAATTGATTTCTAACCTAACCAGTTGTGTTTACAGTTGCCAAAATTGAAAAACCCTTCTGAATGTCGGTTCCATACACCCTTGTACATGGGATTATCTTTTTTCCAAGTGGGGCAGTATTGCCACTTAACGCAAGTCTCAATTTTAGCTGCTGAACATATACTTTCAAGTATTTTGTGTCCATAAGCTGAATTTTATTTTATTTTATTTTTTTATTTATATATCTGGGCATTTGGTGTGCATGCAAAGCAGTCAAATTTTTTCCTCATAAAATTAATTTTGATCCTTTGAATGGCAATATGGTTATGTTTCTTAGTAGTTCGAGAAGTGTTTTATTAATAACAAAGCTAGAGAGGCAGTGGCAAGTAGTTTGGAAT